CTTGGCAAACTCTCGGAGTTGAAACAACGAGGACTGATTCTTGACCGTCACTTCGAGACGATAAAGGCACATGTGAAGGCGGGCAACTCCGTTGCGAAGGAGCGATGGGACGCAATCGAGAACGCATGGGGGCTGAAGCAGACGGGTGTCTTCAACGAAGAAGAGTGGATCACGCAGATTGATGGAGAGGCCCAGGGTATTACCAGCAGCACCCGTCCGTCGTTTTTAACGCCACAAGATGCGGGCGGCGCGCGAGGTGCACCGTCTTCGCACCCACCACTGCCGGGAAGAGAAAGGTCGCAGATCGGGGGAATCAAGCCAGGGATCGAGCTGCCCAAGGTGTTCTAGGTGGCAACATCATCAACGCGTTCGCTCGTGGCAGCGGAAAACCGGTGAGTTCAGTCATCTGACGAACTCTGTTGCTGTGATGATGTACATATATACAGCAGTCGTACGGCGGTCCAGCAGCTGTATGTAGTGTAAATACAGCAGGAGTGCTACTGCTGCTGCTGTTGTTTAAAAAAAAACGCGGTGGTGATGAAATGAAAAAGACGAGAGAAAAACTACTCTGTCACAGGTTGGTGTAAACGACTGACTTTCAGCATGGCGTACATGTAGTTGTACAACTTTTTCAAACATTCTCCGTTTGCCTCAAGTTCTTGAGGAAGGCAAGGACGGTACAGTAGACACAATGGCGAAAAAGAACGCGTACACGAGCGCCGTCCCAACCGTATTTTGTTACAAAAAATTTGCTGCACCGTGATCCAAACACACGAGAGACGGTCATGTAATCATCCCCCGCCCCATCTGCATAGATAGATATATTTTGCCATCGACATCCACGCAATTTCAGGTCCACAGCTCGTTGAATCACCTGCACCTCAATTCCGCCCTTCTCCTACCGCGCCGTGCAGGTTGAGCGGACTCGCGGTGGTGTCACAGAGCATGTGTCCGGTATCAACTCCCCACCTCCGACNGGACGGTACAGTAGACACAATGGCGAAAAAGAACGCGTACACGAGCGCCATCCCATACCGTGCCCTCACTGTCCCATGACCTTCGTGAACGAGCAAGGACTTGGGATCCACGTGAAAACACAGCACAGCAATGCAAACATGTCCAACGGCTTGCGGCTGCAGCGGATGCTAGGGAAGACTCCCAAAGGGAAGGCGTTCCCAGGTTTGGTAGTTGGTACCTACCTAGACTATCCCTTTTTCTATTTTTTTTTATTGAGGTGGGGGTGTGCTGTACATACACTTCGTGCCCCTGTGCCAGCGAGTTTTTTTAATTTACCACGCAACGTGGTGCAGCGTGCCACGAGTTGCCTGCCGTGCAGGGGGATCATGTCCCTGTCCAACCCC